AAAACACGTGCGATCAAGGAGAAACCCTGAAATTCCATCGGTCAAAACCAGCTGGGATGCGCCATGAATTAGTAATGCAGTCAATATCGCAAGTAAATACATGCGCATCTGTCCTGTATAGTATGAATAGACCTTTTATGTGCAGTTCACGTCTGATACTCAGTCGAAAACATATCGGAGGCAAAATTGCTGAGTTGGAGTGTCGCGCACAGTGTGCACCTCTCCTCCTCAATACAAGTCAGCAAACATCAGCACTCAGCATATCCTGTGCAACCAACCCAATGACATCACTCTAACTGGTTACGGTATTTGATCTGCTTAATGAGTGGCAAATTTTCGAACCTTTAACCGTGCTCATACAAAATGTAATAAATAACTTGTAATTGATACCAGTATTTCTATATTATTGCTGCATTTTAGCTTAAAAAGAGATCAACAATATCAATGTTGGAAAATGATGGGAGCAGAAACCAGAGAGAGGTAATTGAAAACGAATTCCAGAAAGGCTGTTCTGGCGACTGAGCGAACAGCAGCGCGAATTTGAGTTCAATGGACACCGCCCACCCCCGCACCACCCTGCCTTTGATGACGATCGGGGGCGGCTGGAGGGTCCCCTTTTTGTCATCGACGCGCCTCGCACAAATTGGTAAAGTGCACAGAAACCATTTACCAGTCGACTATTTTGACTACCAGCGGGAGACTGCAGCTATTGAACCCCTGATGAATCAGCAGTTGACGACATATTGTTATTCAAGAATATGATGTGATAGTTGATATTCTCTCTGATAGCGGAAATCATTGGTATCAGTTGACTATCATGACCTATGGCAGAAAGGTAATTTTACTGAAGCGTCTCCATTAGGAGCTCTTGAAAGCCTGGACATAAATATTAGATCTTTTTCTTGGTGCTGCCAGTTTGAAGGAAAAACCTTTCGTCGTCCGACTACAGCGCCGAACAGTGTCCATTTTCGTGGAAAATAAGCTTCACTGGGGATGTGAGGAATTTTCAGCATGATTGCTCTTCGAACGACCACCGGGCCGATGGTTATCTCGCCACGAGAACTCTGATCTGAAGGAATGACGAAGTTCGTGTCCTTCGAGCAAGGAGGATTCACTGGAGCATTTTGGCACCGCAACAGAGACGAAGACATTAATGTCGCATCCGCTCGACTCTAGAAAGTCGATGAACAGCGGGACGGACGAGGAAACGGTATCCAAAAACTCCAAAGCGCAAAGACAGCTTCAGCGTTGTTCAACCCTCAAAGGTGTTGTTTGCGCTACAAAACCCATGGGTGGAAAGCAGAAGTAGCTACATGACTTGCCAATTGCAATGAGGTGACATATTTTGGCCACCCATTTCCGGAAAACAGTCCAAAACGTTGGGCTGTTGCACGGACACACAGGGTGAGGTGCAGTGGAATGTCAGTTCCCAAGTTTCCGACGGAGTTGGGAGTGCAAAGAGCTACTCGCTATTGATTGCTATACCAAAAGTGCGAATTAAACCTAATTAAATTTATACAAGGGCTGCTCGATTTTGGGGAAAACGTGTTGATTAAGGAATCGCCCCGGAAAATTATTATATTTATGCATTCCAAAGTAAATGCGAAGTGTGTGGTCACTAGCGGACAAAAATGTAAAGGCTTCGCACAGGAAAGGCTTCAGTTTCGAATTGAAAGAAACTTACGAAGACCACACCTGAGGACGGTCGCGGGTAGGTCGGGCGGAAACAAAATATGCTCGCCTTGGGGCGGCCACTTGTCATTGAAATGATCGAATCAAAGCATTCGAATTTGGAATAGAGATAAACCGATCGATGAATAGGATGTACGTTAGAGAAGTGGAGTAATCTCCGCCATCGAGGTGGAAAAAGCCCAAGCAGAATTTCTATTCCTATTCCTTATATTCCTAATTCCGAGAATCAAGTAGAATCGTTCCCGTCGCCAACATTTGACAGATGTAACGGCGGGAGGGTTCTTTGAAAGCATCGAGTAACACCTGCAGCAGGATTTTTCGACAATCGCCCTACCGAAACCGAAACATATGTTTTATCTCATTTATTAGTATCGCGAATGACGGGCCACAAGCCAACTGATGCTATGGGCTAAGACAGAATCACGAATTTTTCGTGGACGAATTCAAGGATCCCGATGTAAATTGGATTCAAAGTTTGGTCGTTGCGATTCTCTCCGCTCATTGCAACACTGATGACCATGGCACACATTCACGCAACTCCTAACCCCGTTCACACTCATAAATCATGTATTAACAACCTTGACGGCGCATAGCACCCTGAAGTGCCATTCAGGGTCCCTCTAAGTGTGGCCCTTCCGAGAGTGGTTTGGTTCACGACGGAATGCGCACATGGATAAATTCAGATGAAACAAATTGAGAATACTCCGACCCTCCACCAGAGATCTTAATGGAGGAAAATATGGAGGGAAAATTTGTGCTGTTCTTTCGTTTATGAAATTGTGGACGTCCAAGGTTCTGCAAAAAAATTGACAAATTAACACATTGCGCGGACCGCCGTTGTATAGGTCTCCGTCTCTTTTCTGTATGTTTTATTAACGAATCATATATACTATAAAAGGATAAAGGATAAAGCATTTGCCGTTGATCAATCCCTTTTTGGGATGCGGCACGCATTCTACTTCCATTTGTACATTCGTAGTGGCGTTTGAATGCGATGTGGCCTATACAATGACTTGCGGGGGCCAGCCGATGTACAAGTCAGTGTTTTTATCCTCCCAGACAAGTCTGGTACCAATTAACCGACCCCGGAGGGATGGAAGGCTTGGTTGGCCCGGGCGACTCACGACCCAGGATTTGATCCCCGGACCGCTCGCGTGGTGAGCGTGCCACTTGTCACTACACCACTTCCGCCCTAATCGATTAATACAAATTAAAGCTGATGACAAGCATTGTTTTCCGGCTCTAAAACATGAGTGCAAACAATTCGAAAACATTGGAAAATGCCAAATAAATGAGATCGAACCATGCTCTTTCGTGTGAAATCGTGCGCCACATGGTGACGCACGCGGTACGCAATGTGTTAAATAGAAGTAAAAAGTTTTCAATCACGTTGTCCATGACTACTCAGTTTTCCCCTTGACTTTACTCCATTGGATTAGTAACGGTGTTTGAACAAATTGTTCTTTGAAAGTTCTTTTTTTTTACTTTGTAGGCTTCTATGCGCTCAATTTTCGCTGACTTGAAAGTAGTTATTGCATAGTATAGGTTGCCACATAATAGCAACAACTGAGAAATAGTGGCTCCGCTCAAACGATGGATGATTGGCATTCGAAAAAAAGGATCCGGTCGAAATGTCGGACCGTTAATGAGGAATCCACTTAAAAACCCGCTCGGCACAAGACAAACGACAAAAGTAAGGACAATGGATATGAGCCGCCAACCTCATCGCTGAAGTAATCCTGCAACTCAGCAACCGCAACCAAAAGAATCGCTTTCCCGGTGAGTGTGCGACATCCGTCATCGAGAACTCGTGAAACAGCAGCACGAGCATGAGCAAAGGAAGCGGCCCTTCTGAAAGAAGACGGTTGTTTGAGAAAAGGAAAATAAATTTTTATACTTGCACTGGACTGGCCAAATAGTCGATCAGTATTACTTGATGGTATTTCAGTAAGTAGATATCCATCCATAGGTCCAATAAGAACTTCATCTAATAAATGACTTGAAGGCGGAGTTTACGATCAGAAGGCAGCCCATTAGAATTAAGGTAGAGGTGGTCAGTGGTGCCGGGATGAAGAAAAAAAATGAGAAACGGCCCAGAACCCGAGAAATGGGACCCTTTCCTTGCCCGTTGATTTCCGCATTGATGCGACTCTCATCGGTGCTGCCCTCTTCAACGCTAACGCTCTCTCTGCTAAACGGCTAGAGACCTGCGGCGAGTGGTTAGCCAGTCGGTGGGCGTGCCGCGCCGATATCGTATTCAATGTTTGCAGCTTGGCACTGTATGCAATCCTATTCTCTTCACGTTTTCTCTGAGATTCAAAATGGGTTTTTTTAAGAGGAGGACTGTTATCATTTTTCCTAGCTCTGCATGAAATAAATAATTTCTTCATAGATTATTTTTATGAGCCGAGAAGGGTTGAAAAAATTGACAAAGAAAGGATAGTAAACGGTCTCTCATACGGCCTGTGTGCAGCGTCACACGAGAGCTTTAGGTGTCTCAAAAGTCGCGCATCAGGGACAAATAATTTCAGAAGTGCAATAAGTTCAGCTGTGACAAACTAAAACCGCGCAGAATAGAACAACAATGTGCCCGTGGGTGGAGCTGGCTGTTTTGGCGTGAGCCAAGAATGATAGGCTCCAAGATGCAGATCGACAGCAAATCGTTGTGCATTCCAGTGAACATCTATCGGAATGATACTAGCTAAAAAATATAAATTTGTGATATCGCTGGCAAAATGCCAATCAGTTTTTCCATACCTCCAATTTGATTCGGATCACGGTATAGCTTCGTAAAGCGCCTCACTTTCTACACCAAGTACCGCAATCAGCAGGGCCTCAAGGGAGAGCGGATCACCACACAGTACTGATAGCGAATTAGTGCGGGTTAGAGTTCGATACAAGTAATAGTTAGAGAAACTCGAACGACATCAAAATTCATCCATCTATCCTTATTTCAAAGCACACTTCTATCAAGCTTTGATGCGCAATACTCGTAATCGCAGATCCGCAAAGTTGTCCCGCTGAACAACGTAAGATTCAAAATCATCCTATAGTAATTTGGAGGAAGCTCGCAACAAGATTTCCTACCGTACCCAGAAATACTGGCTATCATGTTCGCTGCACGACTCCAGCCACCGTCTGAATCGGCTGAACCAGCCTGCCGATGAAGATATCCTGCAATGTGCTATCGCTAAGCAACACTGCGCTTAGAAATAAGTATCATAGAAAATTTTCCAATCTCACAGGGTGAAGCGACAATTAAAAACCTGTTGGTGCAGATACGGTAACAGATCGTAATGAGCAGGATCACAGACCAGCACATACACAGGCGGCAGCGGTTCAACAGTGGATCCTATCGGTGCCTGTACTTGACCCGAGACAGCCTTGTTTTGTGGATTGCCGGGCATAGTCCAAGAAACATCGAGTCTAAAATGCAAATTATTCTGATTACGATGTGAGAGCAATGCTAATGCAGAATAAGCCCGGAGCTTTCAGACGCAGAATGCGCCACTATATTTGACTTCCAACTCAGAGCATCCTGAGTTCGGGCTGTCTATGCAACACTTGTGAAGTTCAACCAAATGAATTATTCAGTTTACTTCGTGTTATTTATTCGTCATGACGCACTCAGTTATAAAATAGGAGTGTCGATATGGACACTGCAACTGTGAGTCGCAGGGCTTCATATCCTTCGAATACCCAGTATGAATAACTTGATGCACTACGGAAATTGGATCCCAGATTAATATCCCGGGATAATGCGCACGGTAATATGCGGCGTTCTGCTAACTACAGCCATCTCTACTCCACTAAGGAGGGGACAAGAGGCAAGAAAGTTGAGAAATGGAGATTTTCAGAAACTGCCCAGTTGTGGATAATAATACAATGAGAAATTTACGTCGACTTCGATGATTGAATATATTCTCTTGCCAGCTACTGATTGGATCGTGATTGCAGACTTGCGCTCTAGTATCGCCCTGTGCGAGAAAACAAATGGATGTTGCGCCAACCGGCCAACGCTCCGCACGCCAAGAGTAATCCGCAATTACGACTCCTCCAGCCAACGGAAGCCACGGCTCGTTTTCGTTCTTATTGCAATCGGTGAGGCGGCAAGTGGGTGGTGCAGTGGCTAGAGGCGGAAATGTCACCGCATGTGAAATTAAATATTCGTACGCTTCGACAGAGGTTCTTCCCGAGGTTGTTGGCCAAAACAGGACCTTTTTCTGAAGAAAAATGGTTTGCAGCTTCCTCCCCCCCCTCCTCGAGCCAAGGAATGAAGTGATGAAAAAAAAATTAATGAAAAAGTGACAAACATATTTATCAATACCATATCAAAATCAAAATCAAATTTTTCGTCAATAGAAAAAAAGAAATTAATATAAAATACTAAACTAATTAAAAAAAACCAATATAAATAGCAGAATTAAACTAAATATAATATAAAATTTTTTTTTCGCGGAGCGAATTACCTAATAAGAACAACTGTGTTCGATCATAAACCCTTTCATCAGTAACCTCTTCGGCACCAATAACAGCGAATTATGGCAGGACCACTTCCTGTAGGGAAGGGTTCATTCCTCAACAGAACCTGAAATTATTCATAGAAACTGTTTTGCAGACCAGTTCGAAGTGTTTATAACATTGTTCTGAAAATCCATATAGAAATCGCTAACGTTCATATCCGTTATAAATTGCGCCACCATAGCCATCTCGCCATGCACAGAAATATCGACCACATGGTTAGTGGAGATATTGCGCTGCTTCTTCCTGAACTCATATCCATGAAATTCACAACGAGATCTCAGAAAGCCCTGACTGAACATATATGAAAATACATTTGAGATTTGTTCTGGAATCGTTATTTCAGGCATATTTACTTAGCAGTTTCCGCCTTTACATAACACTTAACAAAAAAGCTTTTTTTAAGTAATGAAAATCTTCCTTAGAGTTGAATAGTGAGGGATATCCGGAGCTAGCATGCGGATATCTAAGGGAGATAAAAGAAGGATAAAGAAAGACGCGCTGTCGCAAAAAAGGTCACGAAGGTCATACCATCACGGGCATTACGATATTTCTGCTTTCTCTTCTTCTAAATTCAGTTCACATGAATTGCTTGATTTTGCCGTGCCACGCGGAGGTGATTGGAACCTTGATTAACTGGCCTGACGTTTCGACCTTTTAGCCTTCTTCAGAGGTCGAAAGCTTCCATTAGTACTGTGAAGCATTAGCTCATGCCTTGTTAATAATGTCTAAAATGGCAAATGTCATTAACGTGTCGCATAGGGGGATAAAGTGTAGTGCACGAAGTAGCCAACACTCCAGCTGGATTCACCAATAAGCCGATTGCTCAATAAGGGATGAAACGACAAGGTACACTGACACCTTATTCTTTGTTCCCGAAGATCCTTACCAGGGAGAGAATCTCGAAAATCTATTGTAGATCCCTACATCGATGCCGTCCCTCTAACAACTCTGCCTCCATCTTCATTTCGCGAGATATGTTCTATTATTACCTGGTAAGTTATCCTCTTTCTCAGCCCCGTGTATACCAGCCGTCCTAGCCATGAACGATCGGCTTCAGTCGCTCAGCTCGAGCGTTCTAAATAATGCCATATACTGCAACACCTTAGAGTGGAACATAAAACCAGCGCAGTGGCAATGACTTCCTGTTAGTGCTTCCGCGATATTCTGATAAACCGAATGTAGATCTGTCCTAGAGTTAGGAACTTCGTATCTTATAAAAGATACGAAGTTATACGAGTCGGCCTCAACCTACGCTCTCGAGCTGCACTGCGCATCTAGCCCCATCCAGTACCGAAGGATATTTGAATAATCACGCGGCCATGGTTAGCATTTTGCTCCCGAACGGTTGCAAACCCTCATGAATGACCCTGTTGTAACCAAAACTACCCCTGTGTTTTTTTAAGAGCACCGCAGCACTTCCTCGCCGCTTCTGCTGAATAAGTTAATCTCATGAGATAATAGAACTTGATTGTCGCAGGAAAAAAAAGAATCAGCCCCGTTGAGCAAAGCAGCAAAGAAATGCAAAAAAAGATAGCAAACTCAAAAAATATTTCTAAATTTGAAAAAGAATAAACTATGAACAGAACTATTGAAGTACTCGATACAAGAAGAGCCTCGCATACTTTTGAAAAAAGACAGCGATGGCGTCGTGAACGGCCAGCTGAGCGCATCCATTGAACGACGGACATTCGTTGACCGTCGGCCGAGCGAGGAACATGATGAATCTGCGCACGAGGGAATCGCGATGTTCGAACAATCGCGACAGCTGTCGGTACCTGCATAAAGAGGATTGCGTTGAAAGACAAGGCAGGCAGGTTCAAGCAATGCGACAAACTGCAGTTCATTTTGCACTGCTGCAATACAATGCTTATATTATATTCTATGATCATTTACATTTTAGGAAGTAATGAAAAGGTAATAAAGCTCTCACAACATGGCAATCACGAAAGGATGAGGATAAAGCATTTGCCGTTGATCAATCCCTTTGGGATGCGGCACGCATTCTACTTCCATTTGTACATTCGTAGTGGCGTTTGAATGCGATGTGGCCTATACAATGACTTGCGGGGGCCAGCCGATGTACAAGTCAGTGTTTTTTATCCTCCCAGACAAGTCTGGTACCAATTAACCGACCCCAGAGGGATGGAAGGCTTGGTGGCCTAGACGCGCAGGACCAGGATTTGATCCCAGGACCGCACGCGTGGTAAGCATCCACTTGCCATTATACCACTACCGCCCTTGAGACAGAAATATCCATCATTTTCAAAATAAGACTGGAAAAAAAAGTTCTAGAGCAATGAAAAATTAAACAGTGGGTTAAGACCGCAAAGTGACATTGATCGAGCCAGTAGTCCTCTCAGTGGTCGACACGCTCACAACACAAATGGCTTCTTATCCTGGAAAATAGTTAGTTATTCAAATACATTGTAATCCGACACGAATTGCGTAAAGCCTTTGCTTCAGTTTGTACCTCTTGAACGGCCCTGATGCAAATTCAATGAAACCAGGGATAAAGATGATCTCAGTTGATCCGAAAAATGGGCCTCTACCATTACAAGCAGGGTCAACCGTGCGTGGCACTCCCCATTCGACGACGGCTCGCATTTGCGGTTTGGAGAGTGAGGGTCGCTACAGTAAAGGAGAAAGTTTGCCTTTTACGTTCATGTTTCAACAGTCAACCCTCCTCCCCACTCGCTTCACCGCTCGAACGTGCTGTTTTGGCAGAAGTTGGTGGTGTGTGTCTTGTATTGAGCGAAAGAGTCCGTATGGAAAGCACTCCAATCCATGTGGTGGTATGGCAATCAAGACGTCCCGATTAACGAGGGGGGTCGCAAATTTTTTGTAAAAAATGCGAACGTCATCGGTGATCCTGATTACAATCTGGCGAAAGACTTCCTACAGAAACTGTTCCTAAATTCGTGAATGAAGATCCTCCATAGAAAGCAAGTTTGGAAGTTTAATAATAAAAGGTGAAATTGTGAAAGCTCGAAAACAACCGACTCACCTAAAATCATCCTGAAGAAATTCCTTTATTCGCAGCATTTCTCGTTCCGAAATCGGGAACACCTCGTTGTCGAAGTCAGCTCCGATATGATCGAACAACGTCGACGAACAGTTCGATATTCTCCAGAAGACATTCACGAAACTCGATCTCGGCCCTCTTCAGCAAATCATGCTAGAATGACATTGCAAAAATGTTCCAACATCATCAATTCACAAAAAAGTAAAGTCCAATGAACTCAACAAAGACAGAAAACATGTTTCCTACAAAGCTCACTTGGAAGCATCAAGACCATTGCTCTTGACTGTGAACGGCGTTATATGCGGGATAACCCTCGAAAGTACCTTTTATTCGCAGGCAAGCGAGTCATTTATACAGATGACATCAATATGGCAGCCTTAGATCCTACGGATTTCCTTCACAAAACATCCTGTCAAAAATCTTCAAATGATTCTCCCACACTTATAAGCGGAAAGGTTCGCCCCAGGCGCGTCAAACCCGCACCTCTCGCTCATCGGGCATGTGTGCTACAATTTACGCTAGCGGGTCACCGTTTCGCCTTAACTCAGCTTCTTGAGTGCTGAACAATTTTCGTTTAACCACCCTACTCGGCATAGGCCTCGGAAGTTTGTTAAATGTACGAACGTCTCTGATCACATTTCCCTTTCCTGTAGTGCTTACCGTCTCCGTTGCACTATGGCCGACCTCACAAAAAGAATTTCAGTGTAAGTTTTGCATTTTCCTCGCTAGAGCTTCTGTTCGCACTTCTCATATGTTCTAACTAGAACACACCAATACGAAAGCAATATCGTATTTAACGCTTTCCCAAAGCTCCATGATCATCCATGTGGAAATAAGATCCCTTTGATGTCCACATTTTCGAATTTTACAGTCTCTAACTGCTACTTCCCATTCAGACTCATGACGGTTTAGGAAAACGACAACACTAAATAAACAGATAGTTGCTGATTTGCTGATGGAGGGGTCAAAGAAACTTAAGAAAGGTCTACGAATGAACAAAATTTATTCAAGCTTCGAAGAAGTACAAGCCATCGGGCAACCGCAAATATACATTTCGCATGCAAATTACAGCCATTGCAGATTCTTTTGCTAGGTTCCGAAGCTTTTCCTGTCCCGAGATCGACTCGACTGAGGGAAGCATATCATACATGCACACATCATCTTAGCCGACAGTCATACAGGATTTTCACAGGAACAATCGTTTCTCACCAAGAGACCACGATGATTTCTTAGAAAAATCTGCTACACTGCCGTTGTTATGATTGAATTGTTTCTTGCTCAAAAGCAGTGAGCTTCACGCTGAAATAGGCGGCCAACCAAATTGAGGTAGAGGTATTTTCGTGATTCACATGAAGAAAGACAACAAAAACGGCCTGAAACTTTAAGGATAGGGCCCTTTGGGCCCGTCATTTCCGCAGAAAAGCGAGCCCCATCGGTGCTGAGTCATCGATGCGAGCGCCATGCTCTACGTCTCCGCTAGAGCCGTAGAGTCCGCAGTTAGAGTTCGACGGCGAGGGTGAGCCACGTCGTGGGCGACCAGCGGTGCGAGTGACGCGGGCACGGCCGCCGCTAGCCGCTGAGAGCCATAACTCTTCGCCTTCGTCTCATACCCTTAAGGTCGCCCAGACTCGTCGACTACCCGTATTTTCTCGTCCTTCGATCCCCCAAAACTAATCGTCGAATCCCGTTAATCTTCTCCACTTCTGATCTCGTCCTTTCACCATTCGTTCCGCAAGACTCTCGGATCACACTATTTCCCAACACGATCCCCAACCGAAGCCTCCTTGGCGATGATCATACTCTGAATAAGTCTTTCAACAGTCTTCTTCATAAGAAGGCCTGACATTTCTCCCCAGCTCACCTGCAGAAAATATGCTGACATCTCTGAGATGGCTTGCCAGTGTACCTGTGTATTGTCAGAGACAGCAAACATTCGAACTCCCCTCCAGCGTTTCTTTGCGTTGCTCAGTCTCCAGGGTTGCTTTGCAAGCAAACATGAACGTAAACGAGAAATTGGAGGCGTAACAACAATAATTCTGTTGATTGAGGTTATTTTTCTCAGTCACATCATTCGAGATTGAATTACACGTTGTGCCGGAAAATCCACTTTTCTATTGTTCTATTAAAATCGCACGCAGGCTGCAGAACGACGTCATCCTCGGTGTCAAAAAACGCTTTGAAATCATTGTTAGTGCTGAAAAAGATTTTGAACCCACCTTGTATCCCTCAAATGCCAGACGCGCTTCGTGGCGGAGGAGAATTTCTGCCGGTATTCGATGGTCAATAACTGTGGATTGTGACATTCGCCTCTCGTAGTCCGATGGAAGCGGGTCAAGCTGTTTGCCTGAAATCAGTTTTTTTATATTTCCGTGTAGAAAGTAAAAGCCGTCGATCCTTACCAAGTTGTCCAAGTGGCTGAAAGAATTCGTCAAACAAGGGATGAGAATGGATCAGGTGATTTGCCGCCGTCCAACTCAAATGAGCCACATCAGACTTATCGAGAAGGGTGGCGAATACCCGTGGCAGGTTCGGTAACAGAGCGCGGAGTCTGAAAATCCCGATCTACACTGCATTAATCAAAAGCGAAATGAAGTAATTATACCTAGCCGCCATCCAGTGTTCCCGAGCCTCGTTCACATGTGCATCATAGACTTTTTTCGCAGTAGCCTCTCCGTAGATCCGTACAAAATTACAGTAATCGGGCTGTCGATCCAGACATCGCTCGCTAACGAGCCTAAAAAAGATCGGGTAAAGGTGAAAGTCCATAACTTGTAGCTTCTTCGTTTACCTTGACCACGACATTCGTACGGATGGCCAACTCTCGACGGGCAACAGTGCATGTAATAATCGAGTAAACGCTATCCTGAAATAGATGAGTGGAACCAGTAGCTTAGTTTTGTACTTGAACTGAGAACCAAACTTTTTCAGAAGGCTAACATAAAAGGAGTGAGAATAAGGGGGGGGGGGGTAATGATCAATGTTTTTCTGTTACACGCCACACCTTCGAGTACCGTGCAGGATTGCAGAGGTAATTGAATGAGATGGTTGAGATGGTGGTACACACATGAGAGAGAGTAGATGTGCAGATCACCTAAGTTTATGCTACTTTTTATATGTCTTTACGACTTTCTTTCGGTTTCAAGCTCTGAAAAGGTCCCACGGGACAGCGTGATCCGATATCGAATCACGGCGGTAGCACTCGCAAATTTGCGCCTATCCCACCGGGTAATACAGAGAAAGCCATGCCCGTGTGTCGTTGCGTTGAGGTAAAGAATAATTAGAAGTAAACTAGTAACAGTTTCAAAACTGCAATTGTGATAATATTAGCCTAGGTGGCTGGCAAACATTTCTGTGAGCTTCGTCTAGCTGAAATCGTGCGGTTATTCGCCTTTGCACAGGTTTATACTCTTCGGTTTCACGCTATACCATCTGCGGTAGCATTCTTTGCTTTTTTCAGCTGATCCCTGGACCTTAAATAGACTTGCTGCATTTACGACGCACCTCATTATTACTACAGTGAGTCCTAAATTCGACGTATTTCCCTCTACCGTACTCTTCGTATCCCATATAGTTATGGTCCCCTTGACTTCAAAATTCCGTCTCCCGTGAGCCAACCAAGACGCCATGAGCGCAATTCGATCACATTGGCGTTTGCCGCGGCTCACAGCCATTACTGGTCAGCGCCCCCATTTAGTTATTCAAACGGGTTTCGCCCGACGCTCATACAGCAACGCGATCCTTCTCTTCGCTTTCGGTCTTGGACCTCTCGTAGTAATTACCTCGTCGAAGTGGCTAATTATTCATGCAAAGCCCCTCGTCGCTCGACACTCCAAACACACGAAACCCTTTTGGCTTCTTCTGAGCACCGAATCGCACGCCACCATCGGGAATTAAATGACGTGCACTTGGTGGTAGTAATTAGAGCTAGGAAGTCAATCAACCAGATAAGCTTCGGCTTAAATTACAACTAGTGAGAAACAAGTGTCGGAGGCAATAGTGAGGACAAAAGAAGAAGAGAGGCAGAATGACGGCAAGGAACGAAGAGGAAAATAATTGAGCCTACTAACATCCCTATTCCGTTCGGTGACGATCTTCAGGGCATCGGAAAACGACAGAATTTTCAACCGCAGCTTGCTACGCAGCGCTGCACATGCTGTCGCCACAAACAACTCGTCCACATTCACGTTCATCAGTGCTGATACTTCCACCTGAAAGAACTTTTGAGTGACAATTCAAAATTTGAGCTATTCGCGACATTGGTGGTTGGTAGGGTGGAAGAAAATCTCCTCACGTAATTGAAACTGCTGAAAAGTGTTCTCCCCTAAGAAAGGGTTCATATATACCTTTGTGGATTTGCATCAGCCTTAGGTTGACGAAAACTTCACTCATTTCAATTTTATTTGAGGAACCTTTTTTTTTTAACTCCGACTTCCCGCCCTGCGCAACTCAAACCGTCAGAAAATTCGACTGGAACTTCATCTATAGGAGCAACAGATGAGCTGGTAACGAGAATGAGACTTACTTTCGTTCCAACGACATGTTGCACCACTTTTGCGCCACACTAGTGCGATGCCCCTTCGAGAAATTCGGTAAAAACTTGCATACAACCGTTATTGAGGTCTTTATAAAGAATGAACCACTTATGTTAGCTGCCGTCAAATTGGCACCTGTTGGCACCAATACTTTATCGCTACTAGTTGACTCCAGCTCCCACAATAAATGTGATATGCGTAATAAGGACCGTTGGATACACAAGTTTTCACCGACGCGAACATGGATGTTGCACCAATTTGGCGCAAAAATGGTGCAATGGGGCCTGGGGCTTGAACAAATTTTTCATTAACAAAACCATCTTTTACCACACCTCAACCGTGCTGGTTTTTGATTTTTCGGCCGCATGAAGAGGCGCGATTTCACAAGTGGGCGCCATCGCAAGATAGGGGGAGGCATCCTGTAGGATTAAGCCCAGGAGGGAGCAGGAACTCCAGGAACAATGAAATAGCTCGTGCACCCTGAAGTCTCTCTCCCCTGCCTGAGGCTTAGTCCGTTTAACAAAAGGAATTGTCTCACGCGGTCTGAAGTGCATTGGCACCGCTATGCCCCGTATCTTGCGATAGCGCCCTCGAGGGTTTCTGAAAACCAAAAAAACTGGACCCCCTAAAATGAACAAAGCCACTGTGTAATTTTTGGGAAAATGCCGCTTACAGTTACATTCAGAAGCCACAGAAAAACTATAAAAATCTAGAAGGAAGTGGAAAATGTGGAAAAACGAACTAATTTTTTTAAGAACAAGAACAGTGAAAGTTTTGAGACCAGTTTTCGAGATCTTTGAAAAAAGTTCAACTCGAATTAAGCAAAAGCTGTAGAGCAGTTAAAAATCGCCTACCACGGTGATATGTGTGCTTTTGAGATCCTTTCGATTAAGTAGTGAATGAAGAGCCTTCCGTGCTTCGTCGTCCACGCTATCCATCTGACTTAATGCAACCACAACGGGTTTCTTCGTCTTGATCACATTAGACAGTATCGATGCCGACGTAGAACATTGGCTAAAACAACCATTCAAAGCCTTTGTGTAGAAAATAAGGAAAACATTGTGAAATAAAGAACAAAAGGTTATCCAACTTCACAAAGTAAATAAATATTTACAGAAGAGGCGCAGAAAAATTAGAGGCTACCAAAAAATGAAAAGTGAGACAACTTATGAGAAGGCTTGAATCAATCCTCCGAGTTACCTCTTTTCTTTTTTTGTTCTGAAATGAAAATTCGACGAAACACCCCGACAAACTTACAAAGAGAAGACACCAGCAGGGTCCACCAGGGTCGATCTCTCGGGCGACTTTTTTAGGGGTATTTTGCGACCCCCTCCTTCCAATCAAAAATTTCACAACTCCCGCTTGACCACCCTAGCCATCATGATCGCTGTTCCTACAGTATTTAATTCTGAGACCAGAAGAAACAACTAACTCCACCCACTTTTCCCTCCAAATCCCGCCAAAAACAGCGTCAAGGCAGTGAGGGGGGCCCCGTCACAGTACCGCCCTGAGCTCACCCATGCCATTCTAAATCGAGCGAATACGCCCACCTCATAACTCAAGAAAACGCGAACCGTTGGGTTACTTTGTCCCAACATAGATGACTGGTCCCAGCTCACCTCACTGGAGCGGGGGCTCTCTAGATATTAGCAAGTTGTCCAGCGCTACAGAAGTCGCGCCACCTTCGCACATCGAAACGCTTCTGTAAGACGCTAGGCGCTTAGGGGTTTGATCTCTCACCACAATTATCAGTCCACCCTGTTTTCGCAAGCTACTTGCGTCGCAATGTGGACGCAAGGCACGCTCTTCTCAGTAAATTACGTTGTTATTCCTGCTTCTAGACTTCTGCGCACGCGGGAGCAAGAAGGCTTGTAGTCCTGTTTTGCATGATTTTATTTCTCTTTTTTCTCCATCCACCTCACGGCCCTACTTTTCACATTTGAGTTGAACTACCACATCAACTTATCCCCTGACCTTGCCTTTTCATTAGCCATCTTTACGCGAGAAGCGATAATATCCAGAGCATCTGCTAAGCGGGAAAAGCAAAAACTTTGCAAGTTTTCAGACTTTCAATGTTCGTCCAATCGTTTTGCTGCCGTCAAATACGTAGATGAACGACACCCCAGTGCATTTCGCCTGCGCACATGTGAGTCAACTTCTCTCGAGACCAACTGTTCCGAAAAAACACAGTATTCATAGATTTCCCAAGCCATTACGCTGTACAGGTATTGAAGGTATTTGCATTACAATTGGTTCAAATGATTTGCAGCCAGTCAAAGTTATGAGTTCGCTCCACTTCTTTTCCGCACGAGTTTGAACTATATCGTCTACGAGTGAGCAAGCTGCTCGGAGGTGTGACAATGAACTAAAACGTGCCGCTTGAAATCGCCATCAACATACCTACAGTGCCAATATTTTGCTCGCTGGTTAGTCCTGATCGTCGCCATACAAAACTAGAGTGACCTAGTCTAGAGGTATGCAGCGCCAAACATTCGACCATGTTTTGAATCTCAAGGAATTTCTTGGAATCCATCTTTGGGCGGAAGTGGTGCAGTGACAAGTGGCGCGCTCACCACGCGAGCGGTCCGGGATCAAATCCTGGGTCGTGAGTCGCCCGGGCCAACCAAGCCTTCCATCCCTCCGGGGTCGGTTAATTGGTACCAGACTTGTCTGAGGAGGATAAAAAACACTACTTGAACCCAGGGTGAATATCGCTTGAGGATTCCTCAACGGCACGTCGAGGATTCTCTGCCCGATCAGACACGATCTCTCGCGCGGACATTCACACTCGCCATGGGCGTGCCGTCTGTGCTCTCCGCGCGATGTTCACTCTCGGCACTACTCTCGCATGGTAGAGAGCTATGGTCGAGGAAATCCTCGACCGTTATTCACCTGCTTGTACATCGGCTGGCCCCGCAAGTCATTGTATAGGCCACATCGCATTCAAATGCCACTGCGAATGTACAAATGGAAGTAGAATGCGTGCCGCATCCCAAAAAGGGATTGATCAACGGCAAATGCTTTATCCTTTTATCCTTTATCTTGGGCCGCTATAAATTATCACGGATAGTACGTATCCACCAATTA